AAGCATTTAAGATGTTAACCAAAGTAGATCCATCCCCACCCCCCTTTTTATTAATAATCCTCACCCGAGGACATTTCTTCCATTTTTTGTTCAGGTAGAGTGGGAGGAAGAGAGAGAGAGAGAAACATTGATGTGAAAGGGCCACATTGAGTGGCTGCCACCCACACGACCCAACCAGGGCCGGGAACAAACTGCAACCGAGGTACATGCCCTTAGCGGGAACCGAACCCGGGTCTCTCTGGACCGCAGGCCAATGCTCTAACCGCTGAGCCAAACCAGCCAGGGCTTCCCCTTTTTTATTATAATATTGCAAACTTGCCACGGTGATGCTTTTTATTCTAAGCGCAGATTTTTACTTCCTTATAGCTTTTGCTTTTTGAGCTAAAAATTCTCTCATTCTTGGTACAATGAATTTTTTGCTAAGTAATTAAAAACCAATTGTGTAAAGCTTTTGAGATAGTTGGTTTTATGCTGTCTAACTCAGGAGTTGGTTTCTAAAACCTCCAATTTAGCATCTCAAGGAAGAATGGTATCTATGGCATGTTTAAAAAAATGTTTTGAAATGAAGTGATGGGCATTTAAAAATAGAATTCAGAGAGTGATCAGCTTCCCTCCCACCTTTCTCGCTGGCGGGGGTTGGGGGGGATGACACATCTGCCTGATGCTGCCAGAACACTGCTGCTGTGATTCTATTGAGCTTCAGAACGGAGGGGAGCTACAAGGACCACTCATAATCACAGCGTCACCACCACAAACACGCAGGCAGTTTCCGGTAGACATTCTCAAGTTAGAAACAGAAATGACCAGAACACCCCCTACACCTTGCCACCGGAGCCTCCCTTGCCTGCCCCGCCTTCACATCTCTGAACACTCTGCTGCACCTGGAACCATCACAGGCCCTGCCCGGCTGCCAGAGCTTTAGCTCAGCGCCCGTTCCTCCCCATGACCGCTCTGGGGGAGGCTTCGGCTAAATTTCAGATTTCAAAAACATCCAGGAATCAGAGGGACAGAGAGGCTGCAGAACTTTGTGGGCTAGCTTTAAACACGAAAATCCATCCATAGTATTTTTTCCTTCTAAGAAAAGCTATATCAAAATTCAAGTAACTAACCTGCAAATGAAATTTTGGAAGATAAAGTAACCCCTCACTAATTGTAGAAGTTATCTTCTTGAAAACTGTATTTGGCAAAACCATAACTGAGATAAGAGAATAAGAGAAGGAAACCACACAATAAGAATGGTTTTAAATGTACAGGGTGGGGCAAAAGTAGGTTTACAGTTGTGAGTATGCGAAACACAGTATATTCTTATATTATTATTTATTAATTATTGTATTAGTTTACTTACTAACAATTGCAAACTTACTTTAGCCCCACCCTATATTTTTCAAACTAAATAAATGTTCTGAAAACTACCTGCTTCCAAAACAAACTAATTTCATTACTGTAAGCATTTACCATCGACAGGAGGATCTATTTTCTTAGAACACTGTTTTCAATGTTCATGAAACACTACTGCTGTGTCAAGATCCAATTAGGCAGACATTTCTAAGTTTTGTCAATGGCCACACACTGTCTCTACAAATTCCTCAAACAAGCAGTTACAAGCTTCAAATATTTTGCAAGCTCCCTCCGGCTCTGCCTTACCTGCAGAGAGCCACCTCAGCCGGGACTATGTCCTTCCCAGGGCAGCCTGCCTCCAGCAACTGAGCCAGGCGGGCAACACCTGCTCCAGAGCTCATCAGCCAGGTTGGCCACGGCTTTGTCGGGCCTGAATCTCAGCTGGAATTCTCCCTTGGCCCAATTCTGCTTCCTCCCAGTTCCTTTCACAGTAAACATCTTGCACCCCAAACTCTTTCAGTGTCCACTCCCAGAGAACATAATCTGTAACATACGTCTTTTTCATTTACATTCTGTCTTGCTCCATGTACCACAAATCTCAGGAAAATGCTTGTGTATACCCGTTTTATGGAATTATCATGATACTAAGAGTATACTTTCTAGGGTCTAGACTTTAATGAAAGAAAGAAATACAAGTAGATTTCTCCTGCACTATCCTACATAGCACATAGAAAAAGAAATTATTGTTGGGAGGTTCTTTTCTCCATGAAGATTAAGCTATACCTTGCCTGTAAAATTCTAAATATAAAATAGCATTCATGCATATATGAACTCGCTCAATATTTTTCAATATTGAGCACTTTCTAGCAAAGCAGTGAAAAGAGCTGCCACTCTGGAGGAGTTTGCATTCTAGTGGTTCAGATAGACAATCAGAAATTGATACGATGCCAGGGTCTGTGAAGAAAAATAAAGCAGGGTGAGGGGATAGAGGCCTGGAGAAGTATCTATTGTTTCACAGCCACAGGTGGAGAGGGCCTACTGCAAGCCACACATTGCTGGGCTGGCGCAGTCACATGTACACGTAACACATCAATTTACTAGAGAGTATGTGCCATTCCTGTTCTAGTGGAGAATTCATCACCTTCAACTTTACTAAAATATGTCTTCTGCATTGTGAGTCCACCTGCTGCACGAAACATAAAATCTTAGCTCTGCGTTACTAACCCATCCAGCAATTCTGTCTCAGAGAAAGAGCAGCCTGAGCCGTCATAAGCTATGGTCAGATACAGCTGTCTCAGGCAGATGGCTTTATGGGCAACATCATAAGTTTGCCAGATTTTTTTAAAATATGAAGGTGTTTTCTGCATCATTAGTACTTCATGGATGACCATCCACAAGCACCTGGTGTTCAGACTTCTTCCTCTTATGAAAATGCAACCATATATAGTCTGAGTTTGAAAAGGTATATGTTAGTCAGATAATCTTTATCTAAAGGATCTAGTACTTAGATAATTTATAAAGGTACAGGTAGGGGAAAACTCTACCTTATATAGCTTAATTGAGGTGAAAAACTGAAATCAGGACCACTAGAGACTTTTAGTAGTGGTAGAGGCAAATTAAATTACTATGCTCCAGTACTCAAAACTACTTGGTCCAAAGGGAATGGAGTAGCCTTTACAGGCCTCCAATTCCATCATCAGTGTAAGAATGAATAACACAAATGATAGTTTCTTTCTGAGAATAACTGTGCATGCATCTCTACTTTTGTTTTCTTTCTCCTACTTTAGTAGAACTTGGTCATCATCCTCTTAAACACATACGGGAACACCAAGCATCACTGTGTCCTTGCTTACGGCAGGAATCAAACCATACCTACCCTGTTGAACTTGTTATGAAGTAAAGAAAAAACACTGGAGAGTGTAGAGAAACTGAGCTCAAACTTAGCTTCTGTAATTTATTAGTTTTTTAAAAGATTAACTGTCCCAAGGTTATAAATTTCAGTTTTTGTATCTGTAAAATGGAAATGACAGCATCTATCTAATTACCTCACAAGGTCAGTAGAAGTATGTGGTTTTTTTTTGGTTTTTTTTTTATCCTCACCCGAGGACATTTTTCCATTTTTTTTGTTCAGGTAGAGTGGGAGGGAGAGAGAGGAACAGAGAGAGAGAGAGAAACATCGATGTGAAAGGAACACATCAAATGGCTGCCACCCACACAACCGACCAGGGCCGGGGACAAACTGCAACCGAGGTACGTGCCCTTAGCGTACCGGGAACCGAACCCCGGTCTCTCTGTACCGCAGGCCGACGCTCTAACCACTGAGCCAAACCGGCCAGGGCAAAGTATGTGTTTTAAAGTACTTTGAAAACTATAAAGTGATCTGTAAATGTAGTTACAACTGGAGTTTATTTATTTAGATTTAAATGTTAACTTTTTTTATACAATTTTGAATTAAGCGATACAAATATATTTATTCATTTAAGAATCATTTATTCAGTATCTTCTGTGTTACACTATGAAGAATATAAAAAAAAGTAATAGTTAGGCCTGCTATCGGAGAGGTGTTGGGGGAAAGATGTGATTTCGATTTTTGCCAACACTTACGCAGCACTCTCCTGTACCAGACATCATTATAAATACTACACACAGTAACTCTTTTAATCTTTAAAATCCTATTTTAAAAAGTAATATTTTTATCCTCATTTTACAGATGAGAAAGACAGCACAAGAAGTGTGAAAATGTGCACAAAGTCAGACATCTAGTAAGTATTAAAGTATTAGGGTCAACTCACATACTCAGGCAAGTTAGTTACATCCTTATGTTATATTACATCTCAGGTTGGGTAGAACACACACACATATCATGAATAATAACTAACGCTGAGTAACAATACTAAGGCAGTAAATGATAAATGAAGAGATCATCCTGGGGTGAGATGACCAAACAAGTCTTCATGATGTGAACCCAAAACTGGATCCAAACTTGTTTGTAAAGTTTAGACCAAAAAAATCATATAAAGGAAAAATAAAAATGTTATTTTCTAAATGTGCTTTTTTGAACACGTAATAGGTATCACCTTATTGAAATACAGCATACATAAAAGAAAATATAAAAATCCCATATTAACTTGTGCAATATCTCATTTAGCGAGTTCTCTTTTATAGACTGGATTTATTTCCTAACTGAAGCAGAGCAAAAACTGACATAGCAATATCTGACTACCTATCTATATACCAATCTTAGTATAATACATTTTATTTCAAAGAAGTACCATTTAATTTAATTATCAATTATTTGCCAATTTCCTATGCTCAAGACCATTCAACACAACACTGGTTCATTATTAAAAAAAAGAACTTGAAATCAAAGAATATATGTGTTTCCATAATAAAAAATGACGTAAGCAAAACAAATTATTTTCAGTTTACAACAGAAGCGCTGTGTTGACTTCCCATGGTATAGACAGGAGGCTGCCTGCCCTACTTGCACCTCTGGATTTTTATATTTGCTATTGCATTTTATATATAGAAAAACAATTCTGAGATCTACTTTTCAAATGACACACTAACAATGGCCAACAATGATTTATATTTGTTTCAATTTCCAGCAGAAAAAGTGTACGGATAGCTTCTTGGTCCTGTGTTTATACTATGCAACTTACCAACCGATAGGTCTGGGCTTTCAAAACGTTGAGATCAATAAAGTTTTCTTCATTGTCTGTCTCTTCTTCCTTAGGAAAATAAAAGAGTTTTAAAAGTTAGTAATTATAAAAAATTACCATTTAAAAATTGTATTTCCAACTTTTACATACATATTAAGCTCTATATAAAGACGCATGCAGGAAAGGGTATTTAAAAGCCCAGTAATGTGCGGTTTGGCTCAGCGGTTAGAGCATCGGCCTGCGGCCCGGGGTTCGGTTCCCGCTAAGGCAGCGGTTCTCAACCTGTGGGTTGCGACCCCTTTGGGGGTTGAACGACCCTTTCACAGGGGTCACCTAAGACATAACAGTAGCAAAATTACAGTTATGAAGTAGCAACAAAAATAATTTTATGGTTTGGGGTCACCACAACATGAGGAACCATATTAAAGGGTCGCGGCATTAAGAAGGTTGAGAACCGCCCTGGCCGGTTTGGCTCAGCGGTTAAAGCATCGGCCTGCGGTCCTGAGAGACCCGGGTTCGGTTCCCACTAAGGGCATGTACCTCGGTTGCAGTTTGTCCCCGGCTCTGGTCAGTCGTGCGGGTGGCAGCCACTCGATGTGGTCCTTTCACATCGATGTTTCTCTCTCTCTCTCTTCCTCTCTCTCCCTCCCACTCTACCTGAACAAAAACAAAAAAAAAACAAAACAAAAAGAAGGTTGAGAACCACTGCATGGCTAACTTGCAGTTTGTCCCTAGCCCAGGTTGGGGTCGTGTGGGTGGCAACCACTCAATGTGTCTCTTTCACGTTGATGTTTTTCTCTCTCTCTTCCTCCCTCTCTCCCTCCTGCTCTATCTGAAGATAAATGCAAAAAGTGTCCTCAGGTGAGGATAAAAATAAAAAAAAAAAAGATATGAAATATATATATTTAAGATATTAACTTTGTATCTTTGTATCTTAAATAGTAACTATCTAACAGGATAGTTCAGGTACATTCCACACTGGTCCTGATCCCTGGGTCAGTTGCTATGGAGGGTGCAGTCAGAAGTGACCCTTTGAGAATAATCCCTTCCCAGTATACAGTGAAAGTAAATATGGAGTCTGAAGATGCAGGTTCTATAAGCACATAGGCCAAAACATTAGCTCCCCTTTCTCTTCAAATATCTGTGTGGTGACAAGTGACATAATGGATGAAAGAAATTTAACAAGAATATCCCAACTTCAGGATATGGTAATAAAGCCAAGGAAGTTTGGTCCTCAAGTCTTGAGAATAAAAAAAAGGGGGTGTTGTTTGGTGGACACTTCCACATGCAGAGTTATACAAAAGCAGCAGTGGTGACTTCAAAGATAATCCTTATCTTCAAGAATGTAAAAGTATGTGACAGTGGTTCTCAAGAGGTGGTTCTGAGACCAGCAGCAGCAGCGTGACATGGGAGCTTGTAAGAATGCAAATTCTAAGGCTCCGTCCTAGACCTGCTCAGAATCTCTAGGAGTGGGGCCACTAAAGTGAGATGTGAGAACTATGCTAACCTTTGGGGAACTGGAAAGGTTTTAGTAAAATATAAAACAATATAAATGCAGTTTCCACACACTCAAGTGACATTTACTTTTCTAGGAAGGAGACAGTGGGGCAAAAGATGTAGACAACACTAATCTATTCACATCTTAAATCCTAAGCATATATGCAAACACTTTTTTGTTTTTTTGTTAATGTTCACTCAAGGATACTTTTCTATTGATTTTTAGATAGAATGGAAAGGAGGGACGAGGAGAAAGAGACAGAAACATTGATGTGAGAGAGACACATTGGGTTGCCTCCCACATGACTCCCATCAGCCGGGATCAAACCTGCAACCCAGGTACATGCCCTTGACCAGGAATTGACCCTGCAACCCTTTGGTCCAAGGGGCTGAAGCTCTAACTGCTGAGCCAAACCAGCCAGACACTCACTTTTGAAAAGTAGCTCATTCTATTCTGTGTTTGTACTAATGATGGTCAACTTAACAAGGAGAGTTAATGATTGAAATGCCAATGACTCAATGCCCATGGGAGAAGAGACAAGTTTATAATGCTTTTGCGATAACCTAATCAGCTCTGTTTACCTAGGTGATCAATAAATACTTGTTGGCTTTTACTGGATTGAACACTAATAGGTAAAAAGCTTAATAGTAGGTACTAGGGAAAAGATTTAAGTTACTAAACATTATTAAGAGAGCATTCAAAAGGAATTCAAATATAAACAGACTTAGAGAACATAGCTTTAAAATCATTGAGGATTCTAATCTCAGTAAGTTAGAAGGCACTCAACAATTCCCTATCATTTCTTTGTCTAATATTCATGCTCTTAATTATCTTACTGCTAATTACTAAGGATATGATTATATACAGCAGATGAGAACATTTTGTAGTGATCAATACTTTTTTTTTTTTTTTAACAGTTATCAGTGTGTCCTATCATGATTTGGTCTAAAACTAGTTTCTAGATGATTATCACAGAACTTTACTTTGTCAGAAATGATCTTTACCACACATCCTTGAGCCACCCCACAAACTCTGGCAACAAAATGAAGTAATATCTAACCATCCAAAGGCTTTTTATTTTTAAATCCTCAACCGATGATATGTTTTTTTCATTGATTCTAGAAAGAAAGGAAGGGAGGAGAGACAGAGAGAGAAACATTGATTTGTTGCCTCCCACATGCACCTTGACAGGGGATCAAATCTGCAATGTTTTGATGTACAGACGACCCCCCAACCAAATGAGCCACCTGGCCAGGGCTGATGAGCACATTTTTTAAAATTATTTATTTATTTGAGAGAGAGATATGAAGGGAGAGAGGGATAGAAACATCGATGAGAGAGAACATCGATTGGCCGCATCCTGCGTGCCCCCCACTGGGGATTGGGCCTACAACCTGGGCATGTGCCCTGATGGGGCATCGAACTGGGGACCTCTTGGTGCATGGGTCAACGCTCAACCAGTGAGCCACACCAGCCAGGCTGATGAGTACGTTTTTATACTATTTTTCCTAACTGGCAGTTTCAAGTTATATGTCTTTAAAGCTAAATGTTGACACACTAGGACCAGGTATCTATCAATAAACTATTAACTAATAAACAGTTATTAAGAAGACAAGGTGAGAAATATACATGAGTAAAATAAATGAACAACTAGGAATATGTGAGGTCTTAAAAATTTTCTGAGCCTGAATGGAAAGATCTATTATACAAAGAGTAGTCTAAAATCCTAACAATGGCCCAAATGATAAGGACCTGACCTATCTTCCCAGTTCATCATAAGCCACCCCCTACCCCTCATTCAGGAGACCTGGCCACAGCAGTTTTCTCTCAGTTCCTTGATCAATCTATGTTTCTTCTACCTCAGAGCTTTATACATGAAGTACCACCAGGGTCTTGCCCAGTGCCTGCTACATAACAGGTGCTCAATAAACACATGTAGAATGAATGAATACATTTTTGCTTTAACTTTTAAAATATAGCACGCTAAAAAGGAATATTTTAAACTGGTTAGTTTTACAATGGTCTTTTTCCTTCTGTAAAACATGTTAAACATTTTAAAAATACAAAACAAAAGAAAATTCATAATCCTGCTATCCATATAAGTACTGTTAACATATTGATATTATTTTTCTCTTTTTGCAAATTTTACATAGCTGAGTTTATGCATATAGTATATTATCATGCCCATGTAACTAACATTCCTTTGTAAACATTTTTTCAATTAAATGGCGTTATTTATTTTAAAATGTATATTCAGTTTGTGGTATAGCTATACAGTAAAGAAGTATTTCATTTCACATGACTTTTAAACCCAGTAATTTGACTATCTGTACCTAGTGTTATTTATGTGTGTGTGTGTGTGTGTGTGTGTGTGTGTGTGTGTGTGTGTGAATGGGGGGTGGAGTAGTTTTTCTTAAAATTTATTTTTAATTGTAGTTGACATACAATATTATATTAGTTCCAGGTGTACATCATAGTGATTCAACCTTTATATACCTTAGGAAGTGATCACCATAATAAGTCTAGGAATCATCTATCACCATACATAGTTATGATATTATTAACTATATTCCCTATGCTGTACATTACATCCTTGTAACTTATTTTATAACTGTAAGTTTGTTCTTACAAACAATTGTTAAAATTTTAATGGTTACATCATATTCTACTATTTGGATATAGCCTAAGTTCTTGAATGGTTATTTCCAGCACTTGCTATAAAACAATGCAGTGATTAACACCTTTGTATCTATCATATATTAGCTTAATAAATTACTTTAAGCTGAAATACAGAATATATTTATTATATATTAATTTTTTAAATCACCCAAAAAATTTAACTGGTTTATGAGAGTCAAGTACACTGCCATTTTAATTTCAGATCATATCTATACTTCCTAAAACACCAGGGTAATCCATCTCTGGTTCTGAGAAAGAGCTCTTTGTTTCTACCATGTAACTAGTCTAAGCTGTTGAAGGCCTTGATCATTTAGCTTCACACTATAGATAGGATGTTAAGAATGAGAAAAAGCCCAGATACTGCAACAATTGAAATAATGTCGGCATTTACAAGTATTTTTTTATTTATTTTAAATTTATCTTTATTGTTGAAAGTTTTATAAATGTCTCTCTTTTTAACCCCCATTGACCCCCTTCTACTCAATCCCACCCTCACCCCCTGCCTTCACTGCACTGGTGTCTGTGTCCATTGGTTATGCATATATGTATATAAGTTATTTATCTCTTCCTGCCCCCCTCCATTCCCTCTGAGGTTTTCAGTCTGTTCTCTATATCCATGTCTCCAGATCTATTTTGTTAATCAGTTTATTATGTTCATTAGATTCCACAAACAAGTGAGATCATGTGATACTTGTCTTTCTCTGACTGGCTTATTTTGCTTAGCATAGTACTCTCCAGGACCCTCCATGCATTTACAAGTATTTTTTAAAGTTCCTGCATTAAAAAATTTGAAGTTCTAATATCAGTATTTATCCTTATTTTAGGAGCATAATGAAGTTCCTACAAAATGAATGGTGTCTTTATGAAGCAGAATATATTAATCCTAAATTCTATTGTTTTGTTCTAAATTGTTTATTTATTACCTACTTAAGATCATGAATAGTTCTTAATAAGATGTTTGCTCATATAACTGGTGGTCTACTAGTTCCTGTCTACAATTTAAGAACCTCTGCTAAAATCCAGACCTCAATCATTAGAGAACATGAGCATTAACTTAACCAAAGGTCTAAACAACCAAACATAGTACTGTAAAAGCTTTTCACCTCTAGAAAAATGAAATAAAATATATTTCAGAAAATGGGAAGCTTGGAAAATTAAAAGAAGAAAAAAGAATCCAAAGGTGAAAATGAACAATAAGTTCAGTAACACTCATACCAAAAATTCTTCATCCACTTTATTTAATGTTAATTCTGCATCATCATCTGCAACAGTTTCTTCTTCTAATTCTTCTACTGGGTATGTTGGTCTAAAATAATAAAGCTTAATATGAGATGAGAGTTGAAAACAAAACAAAACATTTTAGGAGAACAAAAAGGTACAACATAAATATTAAGGATCTACTCCACAACAGATCTTTTCCTTTTCCATCCCTCTTCCATAATCACTGTTAAATGTTTCATACATTCTTCCTGAAACTTTCTATGTAAAGAAGCAAAACTGTTTATCTCCAAATTTAAAGAATAAATGTATACAAGTAGGCTAATACCATGCATATTATCCAACATACTTTCTTCACTTACTAATATACCACATTTAAGTACCTATACACACATCTCTTCCTCTCTCTTCATCATCTGCATGTATTCCAAAAACCAGTTTTTTTACTAGACAATATTACAAAGGTCATCATTGTATTTTTATCATTATGTATACCATTAGAATAAATTTGTACAAATAGAATGGCTGTATCAACAACTTTGTACATTTTATTGTTTTGCTAGATATTGCCAAAACCAGCTTCTACAATGTTACACTTCCAACAACAGTGACTCCATTTCCATATGTTCACCAAAACGGTAAACAAACTTTAATTCTTGCCAATCATTTAAGTGAAAATATCTTATTCTTCTGTTTCTTTCACATCCTGTTTCTTGTGTTTCTTTCACATTGAAGTGGTTGAATTGTGTTTCTTTCACATCGAAGTGGTTGAATACCTTTTCATATTTTAATTGATTATCTTTGTTTCTCTTTTCAGGGAAATGCCTATTTATGTCCTTTGACCTTTTGTTTTGTTTTTCTTTAATTTTTGTTTTTTATCCTCACTGGAGGACATGTTTGCATTTATCTTCAGATAGAGCGGGAGGGGGGGGAAGAGAGAGAGAAACATCAGTGTGAGAGAGACATATCGACTGATTGCCACCCACACGACTCCAACCGGGGCGGGGACAAACTGCAACGGAGGTACGTGCCCTTAGCGGGAACCGAACCCGGGACTTTCAGGTCTGCAGGCAGATGATCTAACTGCTGAGCCAAACTGGCCAGGGCTGTCCTTTGACCTTTTGTATATTAATAAAATTAATGCATGACCTAACCTGTGTTAAAAATATCTTCCTAGCCCTGCTGGTGTCGCTCAGCAGTTAATCATCGACGACCCATGCACCAAGAGGTCGCCAGTTCAATTCCTGGTCAGGGCACATGCCTAGGTTGTGGGCCAAATCCCCAGTGTGGGGCATATAGGAGGTGGCCAATCAATGTTCTTTCTCATCGATGTTTCTATCTCTCTCTCCCTGTCCCTTCCTCTCTCTCTCAAATCAATAAAGAAAATAAATAAAAGGAACACTATGCTTTAATTAAAAAAAAATCTTCCTAGTTAATTAAGTGTAATCTTGGCTATTCAGGACTGTTTCAATTGTTATTACATGAACTTTGCAAGGTTTTCATCCATGGATCCTAGCTTTAATGTTACACAACATAGCCCACACCTCTTTGGTCTTTTAGTAGTACTATAGTTTCATTTTTCATATTTACATCTTTGATCAACCTGAAATTTATTTCTATAGAAGTAATAAGAACTCCAGCTTTATACTTATTTCCAAAAATGAATTGGTGGTCCTAACACTAAGTATTGAACAATCATTTCTCCATCAAAATTAATAACATGTAGTTCCCATATTAAAAATACTCTGAAGTATTGGGGTTCATTTCTGGAAACTTATTTTCAAAATTCATACCTGAACAGGTTAACAAAATTTAAAAATCAACATTTAACATTAAGAAAGAAAACTATTCCAAACCAAATCAATCTTCTTAAAGAATGAGTTTCCTATTTTCTATAAATTCTAATTAGGTAATATCTCAGCAGTATTCTTCTAGGATTTATTTTGGCATATTTAGATGATAAAATAATCATCTACAAATATGTAACTTCTATGTAACTTACATATTACATAGCTGATATATTCTGTACTATTTTCAATATTTTCCCTTTTTCTTTCATACACACACACACAGTCCTTATAAATTATCCAAATCACAATACATGGCCAAGAGTAAGATATTCTCAGAGGCAAAAGAAGTACAAAGTTGAATTGTGGTTGAGAAACCAATAGTTTCTGTTGAATTTGGAATACACTGGGCAATAGATTTAATAATTTTAAGAAATGCTAAATGGAGCAGCACAACTCATAAGTTCTTGGGATCTAATAAAGAAGTAACGTGGCCCTGGCCGTGTGGCTAAGTTGGTTGGAGCATCATCCTGTACACCAAAAGGTTGAGCGTTTAATTCTTGATAAGGGTACATGCCTATGTTGCAGGTTAGATACCCGGTCAGGGTGTGTATGAGAGGCAACTGATCAATGTGTCTCTATCACATCATGTGTTTCTCTGTCTCTCTCTCTCTTTCCTTTCTCTCTAAAAATCAATGGAAACATATCCTTGGGTGAGAATAAAAAAAAAAAAAAAAGAAAGTAATGTAGATCATGGAATCCTTCTTTTATGTTTTAAGTGGTAATGTTTGGGTTGAGCATTGAAATTGCCATTTTTTTGTTTAAAAAAATGAATATCAGTAATTTTATATGGTTCAAACAGATGATAACACAAGTTGAGTAAGTTTTTAAAAGTACCTATTAATAGGGAGTAGATTAAGCTATCTGGGGGACTGTAACTGAGTACACATTAAACTAGTAACAGGAAGCAATATACATACCTCCTACAGAAGTTAATTCCAATCAAAATCACTGCTTGCTCATGTTTCACCTGCATAATGTCTTCCACAATCTCTACCTATCAATAATCTCAATCTTTAAAGGACCGAATTTATATTTTCTAATTATAACCCTTCTAAATGGACAGTTTCTGAATATTTTATTTCTTTATCCATCTATTGAGCATCTATTATATACCAACTGCTATACTAACAGCCATAGAGTATACATGAAGATTTCATAATTTCTAGCAATAAGGCAATACCTGTAAACAAATGACTTTAATACCACGTGATAAATACAATGATATATAAACAAAGCACCATGAGGTCAGAGAAAGAAGCGATGAACACTGTCTAAGAAGAGTATCAGTTGGTTTCTTCGGTATTATTCTTGCCTAGTCAGTTTAAGCAAAGGAAAAGTCCCATTTAAAGTACTATACTAACTTCCATGTTTTTTTCTTAAATCTGTAGCTATCATCAGTTACCTGCATGTATATAACACGTTTGGTCATATAAATAAATATATAGAGAGAGACTTCTAAAAAATGTCCTAAATTGCCCTGGCTGGGTGGTTCAATTGTTTGGAGCATCGTCCCATACACCAGAAAGTTGAGGGTTCGATCCTTGGTTAGGGCACATACCCAGGTTGTAGGTTCAATCCTTGGTCTGGGCACATACCTAAGTTAGGGATTCGATCCCCAGTTGGGGTGCCTATGGGAGGCAACCGATGATTGTTTCCCTCTCACATTGATGTTTCTCTCTCCTTGTCTCTAAAATCAATAAACACATATCCTCGGGTGAGGATTAAAAAAAAAAAATCCTAAATTTACAAGGATAAACAGTTAACAGTTAAACCTTTAATAATTATATATTTGAATTGGGAAGGGACAAAATAATATCAGAACTAGCTCTGAAGATACAAGATAGTCCAAATTTTGTCTCTACTAACTTTTCTAGTCACCTGTGGCATTTTCCTTTTAGAACAGTCAAGAGGAATTACTTCTTATCTGTTTAATTAAATAGCTCTTATAGGAAAGAAGTACCCTTATAGGAAAAAGCTATACACATAAAACTACTATTGCCAGGTTGGGTAATTTTTACCTTTTCCAGGTGAAACCAATATATTTTAATGCTTCTTCAGCTAAACAGTCAAGAACATAGCATACATGCTCTCCATAACCCGACTTCAATTTTGAAGGAGGAAAATCTGCAGGTCTCCCCTGAAATACAAAAGATAAACAGGGTATTATTTGTTATTTATATTCAAATATCAAAATATTTTAATCAAAGCACTGCCGAATAAACTCATCACTTCTCTATTTTTTGAAATATGATTTAAAATAACTAATAACATTGCTTCTTAAAAATCGTTCTCTATACTCACTGATGCATAAAAAAACTAAAGGAAAATGAAGACAGAAGTATCAAGTAAAAAGACTAAATAACACCTCATGACAGCAGAACAAAACATTGATATTTGTTAGGGTAAAAACCAATAAAACTACTAGCTTGGTATGATATCATCAAACAACCATATGAAGGACAGAGTGATTCACTTGTCAAAAACACATTTGTCAAAAATTCTTACTGTCTATCCCCAGAAAAAAATCAGAAATGAAAAGTACCTAAGGAAAAGTCAGAAATGAAAAATACAACTGATATTATGGTCTATTAAATCAAAGTTCTCCTTAAAAATACAGTGTTTGAGCTTCCTAGGTTTTTTTAAAAATAATTTTAAGGAGAACTAAGTATACACAAATTTACTTCTGAGACATATTAAGATTAAGAAAAATATTATTACTTTGGGCTATAAAGGGTAGCATTTTTACAAGTGGCATTAATATTATAATATTAACCATTCTGAGATTTTATCTGGAAATAAATATATGTATGTATGTGTACATATGTGTGTGTGTGTATGTATATACAGGGATGAGCAAAAGTAGGTTTACAGTTATAATACAAATAAATAATACAATAATTAATAAATAGTAATATAAGACTAAGCTGTTTCATGCATCATAACTATAAACCAACTTTGCTCACCCTGTATATAGTTAGGTACAGTTATTCACAGAGAATTCCTCTAAAAAACTAGCATTCATGTTGTTGAATTATCCATATTAAAATTCATAACCTGAGAGCATGCAGAAAGAAGAAAGTTGTTTACACTTACAAATGATCGAAGCTCAGATAATATGTTAGATATTGTTGCATTAGGGTCATCATATTCCTGAGGTTGCTCAAAAGGGTGTCCTGCTTTGTTAATCAACCAAGCAGCAAAAGTGCAAAACATGTAGAACTGTTCGCCAGGGTTGGTAGGCAGTGCAAAATAGTGTCTGTTCAAAATAAGAGGGGAGGGTGGAATATGAAATATTGCAAAATCTATAGTAACTAAAAGAGCTAAGTCCAAAACTGCCAAAAGACTTTTTTTTCAAATGGCTTTAAAATCAAAAGGCATTGATAATTCACTGTTTGAAGTTTCTAGTAATCCACAGAACTGACATTAAAGTTCTTAATCAACAGGATTAGGGCAATAACAACTGTACAAAAAGTATTAGATCAAAGACTTTATACCAGAAAATGCAGGACATGTTAAAAAACTGAGAATATAGAACTTTTGACAAAATAATTTATATGTCAGGAGTAATTAATAAGAGAGTACTTCCTGAAAATGGTAATTTGAAACTAAGAGAATCTCAGAATTTAAAAAAATGATCTTAATGATTATTCATTACACACTTTTACATTTACTTATTGTTTCTAGTCTATCAGCTACAATAAACAGTTGTTCTCATATTGGCTGCACATTTGAGTCACCCAAGAAACTCCTCAAACTATTGCTATCTGACCAAATAATTCTTCCCTCATGAATTAAACTAGAACTTCTAGGAGTGAAGCCCCAGTATGGGTATGTTTCAAAACATTCCTAGATAGATCCAAGGTATAGTCAGGATGAAGAACCACTGAGTATCACATCCCCCATCTAACAAACATTTGTTGACTTTTGCTAAATCATCTAGCCTACTAAAAACAGTCCTATGAAGATCAATATGATTTATACATAAACATGTTAGGAATAAAATTTGCTAACAACAATATTCAATTCAGTTTAATTAAAGACCTTATTTTGCTTTTTTATGTGTAGCTATTACTATTATGTTTATAATTGTATTTATAGCTATTATAGCTATTTTTCATAAGAATCAGCACTCTATTTCATATTTCCCAATTTTTTTTCCCTGCAGGATAAGCATAAATGTCCTGGAAGATAATAGAAAGCTGGAAAGAAATAAAGGTCAGAAAGTCCTTGCAGGTATATATTTATAATCCTTTTGAAGCACCTAGTGGTTACAACTCATCTTTTCCTTATTGCTTGATAACTCCAGGAAAGAGGAATGTATACTGACACATTCTGTAGACCTCTGACAGTGGTTTCAAACTTTAGCATGCATCAGAATCACTTGGAGGACTTGTTAAAACACAAACTTCCGGCACTACCCCTAGAATTTCTGATACAGGAGACCTCGGAAGGGGCCTGTGGGATTGCATTTCTAATAAATTCCCAGGTGATGCTGATGCTGCTGGCCTGATGACCACACTTTGAGAACTAATAAATTAAGATATCTCCATGCACATCCATGATTCTAAGTATCCTACTGCACTCCTGAGGAACTAGTACAGAGTTTACATCAATAGAATCTTAAGGCCATTTTCTTTCTGTTCAAAAAACATACTTGGGAAAATATGCATTTTTTAACATAAAAAATGTTGATTGTTTATATTATCCTGATCAATTCATTTCAGTAATAACTCCCAACCCTACAATTTCTATCATGAATCAAGCAACAGTACTTCTCCCTCAAACTTTTCTCCTATTACAGACTGACTTAGCAATAGGAACAATTTACCTAAATTCTACATACCTTATAATTCAAGTTATTGAAAGGGAGCTGGGAATGAGATCAAAACTCTGGAGGGTAAGGATTTGAACCTAGCTATAGCCACTAAGAGAAAGTACTACAGATTCTTAACCTAAATTGTATCTTACATAGTGAAGTAAACAAATATAAGCATGTATTAATGTGAAGGAAAAGGTATAAAATTTATTTTTCTGTCTATAGCTAAGCTTCATTGATTAGAGGAGAAAGTGTTAGCTGTCCATTTCTTCAGCAACCAAGGGCACTGGCTTCAGGAAGAGATGGATTTTTCCCCACCAGAAGAGCAGAACTTTAGGTTCTATGATAGACAATTCCAATAGTTGTCACTGCATTTGTCTTTCCCACTTTCAGTTTCTGAGAGTAGTTATGACAAAGGCATAAGTCCTTTAAACCAGAGCAATTAGTCAACAAGTTGACTAACTGCATATAAAGTGCTCAGCAAGGTCCGAGGTTCCCAGTTACCAGCTGTAGGGGCAGGTTCTTGCAGAGGAAAACAAAAACTAGAGATTGATCTAAAAACGATAACCGCATTCACCTTGGGAAATGAGATTATGGATGATTTTAGTATTTTTCTACACATTTTCTTGTGTTTTTTTTCTGAGTTCTGTACAATAGATATTTTATTACTTTAATCAGAAGAGAAAAACTGTGATTTGTGGAGACGCGTTTGTGCTTGAAAGACCAGGCAAGCTGTCTCAATCCTTTCTGCTGTTTCAAAACTTTCTTCTCTCTACTACAACACCAAGTCAAAACTCCGGGAGCTCCGCGGCCCTCCGTCTCCAAGTTTGGGGTGAAGTGCGTTTTCCTGGATGGGAAGATGGAGGCAAGCGCTTGCTCACCCGTGCTCGGCGTTCCCCCAGGCCGGAGGAAGGCATCTTCCCAGGGCCCAACCGGTACCCAGGCGCCGGGGACTAGGGCACCCACCTGGACGGGGGCTTCAGGTTGTTCTTCCGGAGGAGTTCCTCCTCATAGCGGAGCAACTTCAGCTTCTCCACCAGGTCCTCCATCACCACGAACATGTGGTAGGCCGCGCCGGGCCCCCGCTCCACGACCACCTCCCCAGCCCCATCGCCATGGGACCGAGACACCCCATCCTCCAAACCCGACAGCGCGACCACGGCCGCGGCAGCCGCCATCGCAGAACGGACAGAAAGAGCCCAGCGTGGGCTCCAGCCCCCAGATTTCCGCGGCCTGCGCTGCTGCAGCCAGGACTGCCGCGATCGGTTACTAGGCGACGGCCAGGCAACCCGTCACCAGGGTAACTAGGCTCCGCCTCCTTCCCGCCTTGAGCTCTTCTAAATTTTCTCCAACCAGAGCGGGGCTTCTGTATTACGTCACGTAGGGCCCGCCTCTGGGGAGGAAGTGGCTGAGGGGCAGTCCCGCCCCTCGTGGGGGCGTGGTGTCCAGCGCCCCACGTCGGGCGGCGCCTGCTCCGGCGGCTGCTCAAAAGCAGAGGAGAGTCCGCCAGCGTTAGAGCTGTGCTGTGCCGCCGGCCTCTGGGCGGCTTGGGCGGGTGAGGCCCGGTGGTTACCAAGGGCCGCTGAGCGGGCCTGTGAGTCAGCTGGTAGCACCTTAAAGATTAGAGAGAGAGTAAGACGAGCAGTATTGAAAGCTACGCCAGCCCACTGATTTCTTTTTTAATTTTTCTTCTCAAAATTAAGTTTTCGCACATGTAAAGATAATCGATATCCTGAAGCTTCCCTTTACCACAGCAACTTTCCCAAGGGAGCGTCTTTTCTTTTCCCCTCCTTAAACTTAGTCCTTCGTTAGGGAATGCTGTGCTTGATTTAACGTGCCCCGTAGGCCTGGAAGTGTTACCGATCCGTGCTATTGCTGCAGCGCTAGGAAAGGGGTTGTTGGGAGGGGGTGGGGAAAGAGAATGGCCAAGGATGAGCCAAAAGGAGCCCCTTGCGAAGGATTTATTCTACCTCGGAAGCAAGAGTTCTAAACTCACGGCCTGCTGCTCCTCATCTGTTTCAAGCCAATTACATGCATAAAGTTTTGGGGTTCCTTATTAAAATCAAAATAGAGGAAATAATCTTCAAAGCAATGTATTTCCTTGTGCTGTGGCTCTAAGTGTGGCTAAAGACAGTATTATTACTGTACTCTGTAGCTATTAGCCTAGAAAATACAAGAAAGCAGACAAAACTAACTACAGCTTTATAGTTCTCCAAGAAGACTTGTGTATCAAGAAGTTTTCCTAACAGCTACATCAAAATGAGGTAAGCGGTAGATGCTCGGAGGCTTCCTGGGAGAAGAAAACTTATGGCAGGAAGTTAAACATGTGTTTGTGTTTATAACGTAATTTTTGAGGGATCTCTGATCTCTGATAGCTGCTACTAGGGACTATAGAAGAGTCACAGTTTTTGACATAATCTAAGTTTGAAATATATCTGTAATGTCTTTTGGGTTCTGTTAGAAAGATGGGCAGATGAGCACTTTTCATTTTAATATCAGTTTAGACCTAACTTGTTTCTGATACAAATAAAGGTATCAAAGTGGAAAGTCAGAAAGACAATAGCTTTCTATTTACCAAAGAAAGGAAATACATAAAGTAACTAATTTGTGTAGAAAACAACCCAAGGGGAAGGTCCCTGAGAATTACTTTTTAAATAAATAACATTGTTGGTTGGCCTAATACAAGACATTAAGTAACTGCTTTTAATAAAGATGAGTAGGAAAATTGGATTTGACTCTACCCCACTGCCAGTGTTTCTCCCCCATACGCTCCCACCCCCACCATGTGTATGCGTGAGAGATATGGTGGTATGCCTGTATAAGTTTCAGAGTACAAGGTAGGATTGAAAAAAATTAAAGCTCGAAAAATTTGGGGCGCTTGGTTTATCAACAAGCAACCTGTGGCTTTTAAAATGACTCTCAAAAAGGTGTCAGACTTGACAGGTTAATTGGTTACACAAGAGAAATAGATATTCACTCAAGACATGCTGCCTACATAAGACGTTCTGACATTTTCAGAAATTATATATAGCACTCAGGATGAAATAGTCAAACATTGTTTTTTGGCTGAGAGAAACCCTCCAACAACATATGTACTTTGTCTGAGTTGGGGGAAACAATTTCCCAGAACCTAGCCATTTCTTCCCCAGGTACACTACTGATACAGCCTATCTTGAAAACAGTATGAAGATATTTTCCCCATTAATTGCTGTAAAGAAGAAAAAAAGAGACTAACATATTAAGTGTCCCCCAGTATATGTGGCACAGAATTAATGAAGGAAACAAAGAAAAAGCCAGCTGGTCAACACTGCTTTTCCCACAGAAAGAAGATGGGCAAGAACACTGAAATGTCATTTCAGTTTTTTCAAGCCCCAGAGATTATTTTTGCTGAATCATTGTTTCTAAACCCACAATAGTTAACACCTCAAGAGATCTTTACCCTAATGGAAGTAGTTTTCTTCACACATGTAAGAATGCACACTAAAATTCTCTTCCATCTGTCTCAGACACCTGGAAGCTTTGGGGTACATTGTGTTAATATTATTTGCAGGATGAGCTCATTCATTGATTAAGCAGGTAGATAGGAACTTGAAGAGAATGGAATGTTGACGCATGTTCATACTTCTTTTCAAGAATCTTAAGAGAGATTTATCCCTTGCTCTATGTGTTGACCATAGTTTTAGCCTGGCTTCTGACTTTGACTTTTATCTCTTGCAAACTATCTGTAAAATAATTGGAGATAATTTTTAAGGCTTTTAAGATCTTTCTGTGATTGGGCTAATCTCTGAAAACTGAACAGCATCCTAAATCAAAGATGATTAAAGTTAAATGGATTTCCCTGAAAACTGCAGAGCAAGGCTGAAAAGAATTAGGAGGCAGATTCAGAAATGGAGGAAGACTTTCCAGCTGCTTCTCCAAATCTAAGAACAAGTCCTCCAAGAAGTCTGGGCAGGTTTAAAGAACAAAGCTGCTTTTTCTTACAAATGGCTTAGTACCATTCATTCAGTATGTTAAAAACCTAGAAAACCACTAATTGAATAAAATTTTCTTAACCTAATTAGAAGAATTTGCCAAAATTCTAGAAAGAAAATAGTCATATTGAAATAGGAAACATAGAGGCAGTGCCTTGTAAAGCCATGAACAAGTGAGAAGACATGCACTCATTGAAACTGAGCTAGAGATCAGAGCCAGTACACTGAGACAAAAAATTAGGAGTATTGCAGAAGAAACTACTGTAGGTTATAAGATTAAGTAAATATCCAGGAGACTCTACAGACAAGCTCTCAAGATACCTCAGCAAGGGTGCCATAGATGGGATCTAAATGAAAAGTTACAAGAAAAACAAAAATCTCACAAACAAACCATATATAGAACCCAGGAATAAGTCTATCATTATTATGGAGAACTTGTGAAACTTTCCTGAAAATTATGGAAAAAATACAACTAGGGATACAATGTTCGTGAATGAGAAAAATCACTTATCTTTATCCGATCTATAAACTCTGCATTTTCAACTAAAATTCCAAGAGGGCTGATACTGAAATTCATACATAAGAAAAAATTTGAAGCATGAGGAAAGAATCGTGATATCAGTAAGTTTCCTAATAAAAGTGTAACTTAAAATGACATCAGAGGAATAAATAGAAAAGTTTGGAAACAGGTGAAAGTTCATATGAAAATTCATTACATGACAAAGTTGTGTTTCTCTACCAATTAGTAGAGAAAGATAAACTATTCAATAAATGCTATTGAAGCTATGGGTTATTCTTGTGAAAACCAACTTACATCTCTGAATACCACCACATATATTCCAGATGGATTAAAGATGTAAAGTGAAATACTGGTAGGATGTTTATATAGAAACAAAATATAGTACCTTAAATCTCAATGTAGGGAAGGATTTCTTGAAGGTAATATAGAACAAATTTTAAAGAAGAGATAAACTCATCAAAATTTAAGAACTTAAGTACAAAAGAGGATTCTATAAACAATGAAGACAGAAGTTGTGACCCATATAATGTCAATGGAGTAGTCTCCAGGATGCACAAAGGTAGTAGGTCATTGCAAGGCCTCTGTGCCATGTTGGAGGATTTTAGATGTGTTTTTCTAGTAGAGCATTGCTTGGCCTTGGCACTATTGACATTTTAGGCTGGATAATTTTTTGTTGTTTGGGCTTGTTCTGTGCATTGTAGGCTGTTTAACAGCATTCCTGGCCTTTACCCACTAGATGCCAGCAGTGCCCATTCATAGTTACAACAACTCAGAATATCTCCAGACATTACCAACTGGCCCCTGGGGGACATTTTCATGGCTGGTTGAGACAACCACAGTAGATGCATGAGTTGAAGTGCAAATGACTTTATAAGGACCAGGACTGTAAAGGTAAATGAGTGGCTGAGGGATGTGGGTGGGGGTGGGATGTATGTATGAAGTAACTATGGTGAACGAGAAAATTCATGCACCATCTCATGGAGGGGGCATTTCTGCCATGCAAGGATTTGGCCCAATATTGTCATGTGTTACGATTTTACAAGGATCTGAACTTAGATTTGTATGTCAATGCAAGATCCTCATGTTCTTGAGGGTTACCTTTCTACACAGAAAATATTATTTCAAAGACTACTTTAGTTGTGTTTTTTTTTTAATCCTCACCCGAGGACATTTTTCCATTTTTTGTACAGATAGAGTGGGAGGGAGAGAGAGAGGGAAACATCGATGTGAAAGGGACACATCGAGTGGCTGCCACCCGCACGACCAACCAGGGCCGGGGACAAACTGCAACCGAGGTACGTGCCCTTAGCGGGAACCGAACCCGGGTCTCCCCGGACCGCAGGCCGACGCTCTAACCGCTGAGCCAAACCGGCCAGGGCTCAAAGACTACTTTAGTTGTTAAAGACATTTGACTTATTAATACACTGCAGTTTAAAATTGAGAAGTCTTGTTCTTAACTTTTCTGTTTATAGTTAAATCTTATTCAATTTGTAAATGTTATAAGTTTGTTAAAATCGAATTTAAGGGGTGGGGGGAATTCTAAGTGAAATTCCTATAGTGGTTTTTAACGGTTCATAAACTTACTATATCTGTTTTCACATCATTGACAAGCCATTCTAGATACTGTTAAATCTCCTGAATCTAAAGGGGGGGGGGGGAGTGGGAGGAGACAGGAAAAGGTACTATTAAGTATTCAAGCACTGTTTGTAAACATAGATATCAATGTAAAACCAAATCTGTCTAAATCAATTACTCGATTACATATTATAAATT